CTTGGGGGGTTGAGTTATTTCTGGCCCTTCCTTCAGTTCCTTATGGAGACCTCCTGGGGTGTCTCTTCATCTTTAAAACCATCTGCGCTGTCTGAAAATTTAAACACTGCCATCGAGTCTTCTCCAACCCATAGCAACCCCATCAGACACAAGAGAACTGTCACTAGAGCCCAGGCAGCCCTGGTGGCATCGCTGTTACACATGGGGCTACGGTCCGCAAGGTCAGCAATTCGAAACCAGAAAAAGGGGGCTTTCTACTCCAGTAAACTCACGGGGCAGTTCTACCTTATCCTATTATAGGACCCTATTATAGGGTTCCTGTGACTTGGCATCAACTGGATGGCAGTGAGTTTGTAGGTTTGAGGTAGAGCCCTGGTGGCATAGTGGGCTGTACATTGGCCAGTTAACAGCGAGGTCAACAGTTCGAAAGAACCAGCTGCTTTGTGGGACAAAGATGAGACTTTCTAGTCCCATAAAGATTTCCACTTTCAGAAGTCCCCAGGGTAATTCTCCTCTGCCCATAGGCTGTAATTGACTCAGTAGCAGTGATGGGGTTCCCAAGGCCCCAGCCTTTACTGAAGCCAACTGTCCACTCCTGAGGACTTGCTGGCGGAGTCCAACTGTGGATCTTTGGGTTAGCAGCCAAGGGCTAAGTGCTGCAGACCGGGGCTCCTTTCAATGGGGACTAGGGTCCCCATCTCATAGCTAGCAAGTGACAGAGCCCACATCTGAATGGACTCTGGCCTTTGAACTCCAGAGGTGCTGCTTTTTCTCATTATACCTTAGACCTGAGAGGCTACAAAGAATGATGTTCGGTCAGGAAGGTTGGCAGAAATTCAGTGCTGAAATTTCACGAAAAACACCAAGCTTTGTCTCCTAAATACCTCTGACATTCATAGAACCCTTTCCTTCATATACTGCAGACCTCTGTGAATCTGGCAAGGGATGGGGAGCCCTAGGGAACCCCCTGCATGCATGACAATACCTTCCCCAGAGTGTTAGATGTAGCCTGTAGCAGAGGCGGGGACAAACCCCCCTGCTCTCTGGACTCTCCGCCTTGTTCAGAGAAAGTCTGCTCTCTTCATTGAGAGGGTAGCAAGCTTAGAGGTTCTCTCTCTCCTAGGAATCCCTCCTCACAAAAGAAATTCCTTCCTGGCTCAGGACCTCCGTCTCTGTCTCATCCCAGTCTCATCCCGGTAGCCAGCATGGAGCCTGGCACACAGTGGGTGTGGGCACATGTTTGTTGGATAAGTGAATAAAGGGATGCCCAGAGCCAGTGTGGCTTAATTACCCAGGTCATCCGGTATGATCATGTCTTAGTATTCTGGTAATTGCCCAACCTGCCACTACCGGCTTAAGACCAGACACGGTTTGATCAAAGTGATTGGAGTAGAGGTAGGAACTGCTGTATATTGAATATCTTCTATAGGCCAGGTCCTGGGCTGGGATCTCCCTGCATATTAGAGATCAGTGTCCTCATTTTATAGATAGGGAAACAGAGCCTCGAAGAGGAATTTGCTGAAGGTTCTATAGCCAGAGTAGAATTTGAATTCAGGTCTCACTCACTCCACAGCCCTCTGTCAGTGCTTTTGTTTTCAGTGTGTGACACTGAGCCCTCAAAAAAGCCTTGATGGCATAGTGGTTACCGTTCTAAACCACCACCCACTCCTCAGGAAAAAGGCGAGGCTTTCTACCCCCATGAAGAGTGACAGTCTCAGAAACCCACAGGGCAGCCCTACAAGTAAGTGGGAATCGACTCGAAGGCAGTGAATGTTGAGCCCTCAAAGAGCGAAAATACGGGGCATCCCATTTCTTCAGCCCTGCTTCCAGAATTCTCAGGCTGCTCTAATAATGCCAGGGAGATGATGTAGGACAGGAAAATAAAGAAGCAAGAGACCCTCAAAGGCAAAAATCCCTTCTACCTCCAGTGGGCAGTGACCCTTGCTCTTGGCCTGGTCCTGAGAGGTTGCCTTCACTGAGTGTCTCTGCCCATGCTCTGCTTCCATATTGACCTGCCCGACATCAGCCCCTGGGTTTATCCCAGCAGCCTCCTGAAGGGGCTTCTTGTTCCCATTTTCTATTCCCCCTTTTCCAATTCAGCCTGGGTATACTATTAGGCTAATTTCATAAATGTGTGTGTCTCAAAACCTTCAATGACCACTCCACTGCCTGTGGTAGAAGTTTAAGGATGGCCAACAGCCCCCTGCGTGCGATTGATGGTGGCTGGTTTCAGCCTCTGCTGAGGAGGTTCTTTCAAAGGCTTCCTAAGAGCCCAGCTGCTGCAAGGGAGTTTGTGGTATCTGCCCAGAGGGAGAAGTGCAAAGCAGAAACTCTTTGTGTATCATATATGTATTAAGTGTGTGTTTTCTTACGTGCTTTTCTGAAGAGTCATTTGCTCTGATTATATTCTCAAAGGGGCTCTAGTGGCCTCACGGCCTGGTGCTTGAAGCCCTGTGTGGCCCCTACGTACCTATGTTTCTGTGCTGTGAATTTTCACCCAGACGGAGCTACTTGATAGGCTCTGCATATATATATATATGCTCTTGCAGTTCTTCTCTGCTTCCAAATCGAGTCCTGTTGCCTCCGCCCTCGCTGGCAGGCTTTTCCTCCTCTTAGCTGTTCCCATACTTCAAGGCACAGTAGTTCAAGTCTTTGTCCTCAGCAAGGAGTCTCCGATGGGCTGCATCCAGAACTCCAGTCTCTCCGTGAGCATTTGACTACACCACATGGCTTCCTATCTTAGGAAGGAGGTTGTGTGCAAAAACCAACTTTTGTCTCAGAGAAAACTTGTCCCCAGCGTTCTAAACCTTGGACGTTTAACAGTGGACCAGGAGACTATAAAAATCGTGAACATTTCTCATTCACTCTTCATTCACCTCCTCCAGGAGCTCTTAGAAACCCCCTTGTAAGCAGGAAGTGGCCCAGGTCTAGGCCCCTCATTTGTAGTAAGAAGGCCAAGTCTTTGACCAAAAGAAAGCATCCAAACTGGAGGTGAGTGACAGGGTTTCCCAACCTCCACCCAGTACTCTTCTCTTACATTCTGTGCCTCAGTCATGCCAGGCCTCTTTCAGAGCTTCATACCCATGTCTTCTGGTGTCACCCCCTTTATCATTATGTCCTCAGAGCTTGGCTCCCTTTTGGTGCACTTGTCCCACTTCACTCTCTCATTGATGAGATGTGGCGTTGTGTGTTTGGTCGCCTTTGCCCCACCCCAGTGCATGGCTGAGGCCTTGAGGAAGTGGTGGCTATCCCTCAGCACCCCACTCTTTCAACAGCAGAGCTCTTGTGTGGCTTGGGTCCTAGGAACGTTAACTACTGATTGTGACAGAAAAATGGTTCTGGGACTCAAATTCACTCCTCCAGGCCCTGCCCGGTACCTACTCTGCTCGAACCTACCGAAAAGTAGACAGCTCCCCAGTCACAAGCAGTAGCCCACCAGTGTCCCAAACCCTCCAACTCCGTCCCCCATAAGTAGAACCTGCCTTGGCAAATCACTCGCCTTTGGGCTTTTCTGTTTCTCAGCCTTCTGCAGCATTAAGGTCAGAGAGCACACCTGCAGACGAGGTCTCCTGCTGTCTTCTGTTACCCTCTCATTAGTCCATGTCTGAGCCCCAAGTTGTGTGCTTCTTTCACCCTCCAACACAGTCTCTAGCCTAGGACCAAGCACACCTACTGCTTCAGTGAAGTAAATGTAGTTTTTTTATTTTTCATGGACCCAGGATCTGTCAAGAAAAATCGTGAGGAGAGAGGGATTCAAGCATGGGAGTAATTATTAACCTGGTTCAAATCACCAATAAAAACTCACTGCCATTGAGTCAAATCTGACTATTAGCAACCCTGTGGGACAGGGGAGAACTACCACTGTGGGTTTCCAAGACTACCTCCTTACGGGAGTAGAAAGCCCAGTCTTTCTCCCACGGAGCAGCTGGGGTTTCAAACTGCTGACCTTGTGGTTAGCAGCCCATGTATAACTACACCGCCAGTGCCCCTCTCAAATCACAATCCTACCCCTTAAGTAGTGTGTGACCTTAGCACGTTTCTGTGCCTAGTTACCACATAGGATAAAGAAGAGATCAATGTCAACTTCTTAAAGTCATGTAACGAGTAAAAGAAAGCAAAGCAAGTATGTTAAGTCCCTGGGAAATTCCTATCTGACTTGGTTTTTTTCCTCCTCTTCCATCTTTCACTTCAGGGTACCCTGTTCCCAGAACCCACACTTCAGACTTGTAGTGATGTACTTTCAGCTTTTTCTCCGCCAAGCCATAGCATGTAGATTAAAATAAGCTCATGTGGATTCTTTGAGGAATCTAATCTAGCTTGCCTAGCATTCTTTTTACATCTTTCTTGGGTTAAAGGATTTCAACATACAGATGCACTTGGTGAATGTGATTCTGTTGTAAGCTGGCGTCTACCTTGATAAAGAGTGGCGTCAGGTGTTCTGTACTAAGCAGTGGATTTGATGAGTTCGGAAGCTTTCTCGGGAAGGACTAGAGAGAAGGACTAGAATAGGCAGAGGCAGAGAGAGGGCAGTCTAGACCAAGGAAGTTATGAATGTCAGGACAGTAAGTGAGAGAAGGCACATTGTCATCTTAGAAGGTTGGGAGGACAGCAATCGTCAAGCGGATAGACTGAAAGGAAGGAAAGAGGTGGAGAGAACCTTGGGTCAAAAGAGTGGCCAGAGAGCTGGCATAGGGGAATTCTCAAAGGCCTTTCCTACTTCCACCCTCATTCCGTTGTCCTGTTTACTATCATTTCTTCTGGGGTTCTGACTGTTCTTTTCATGGTGAATCTGAAACCAAAGCCAGGCCTGTTGCCGTCAAGTCCATCTCTGTTCACAGTGAATTGTGATACAGGTTGCGCGAGACTGCCCCATAGGGTTTCTGAGAGTTTCATCGAGTGATGGTGGGGTTCTAACTGACCACCTTCTGCTTAGCCGCTGAGCTCTTCACCACCAGGGCTTCTGGACAAGCCACAAACTGAAAATATTTGTTTGTTTTCAGGCTACTGTCAGAAGGTGCAGACGTCAATGCCAGGCACAAACTTGGCTGGACAGCTCTCATGGTGGCAGCCATCAGCCGAAATGAGAGGTAAGAAACCTCTTTCCACCTGGGACTGCGTTAGCTAGTGAGGTAGTTCTCCCACCCTTTCCCCACTGCTAGCTTCATCAGAGGTGGGGAGATAGGGAGACAGAGAGACCTGGCTTTAGGTCCCATCTCTTATCTCTTGTTTACTTTGTGACTTTAAGCAAGTCATTAGCATTATTGTGTCTTATAAATGATACTGTGTGATGCTGTGTGCGTGGTCAATTACCAACATCCTTTTTGTGATCCACCTTCTATCCCTGTTGTGAAGTCTGCAGTCACTTCCCTCGGGGCAATTTTTCCCACTGGGGTAACTTTTTGAAGCTTCTGAAGGAAGCCAGGGAAAATAGGGAAGTTCTGTGCTGTGATTGGACACACAAAAAGTGGATAGTTGAGGCAATAATTTTAATTGTCTCTTTAAGCAGGTTCTTTAAGCCTTTTATCTGTCAGCAAGAACCACTTTGGGAAATGCCATGCATGTGGCAAAGAACAAGGAAACTAGGATATAATAACCTCCTGGTACTGTCTGCTCAGACTGACTGAAACACGCGGCTGTAGTTGACATGGGTCTTCTCTTGCACCTCTGCCTTGAACTTGTTCCCAGCCACTCAGTTTCCTTATTTGCTTTCTTTAGTACCAGACACTTAATCTTTAAAAGGAAGATTGATGTATGTAAGAGAGACCTGGAATCCATACCTGGTTTTGACCAAGGTACCATCCAAGAATTTGACAACTCCACAAACACCCTGCTTCCTCATCTGAAATGAATCGATTATTTCTACAAATACTTAGTTCATGTTTGCTCTCACCCAGACTCTATGCTAATCTTTGGGGGAGTAGAGACCCTGGGGAGCTGGCAGTCAAAACAAAGACAGGCAAAGAGACATAGTCTACTGTCATCATTTATGTAAGAGTAGTGTGTGTGCATGATAAAGTAACAGAGCATGTGAGCGGGGCTGAATCTGCAGGTAGAGTAGATGCTTGCTATATTCAGGGAAACTCAAGTAAGACAATGCATGTACTACAGGTTATCAATAATAATAAGTCGTTACTCTCTGATGCATCCATCAGACACACCTCTCTACACACAAACACACATGTGTACATACAAGCAGTCAGGCTGTCAGGCACTTAACCATTCAATTCCTATTTTCTTAGTGTCTGTTATGTGTCAGCACCAACCTGAGACCAACCAAGGCTGGTGTGTTCTTTGCACAGTGAGACAATGATACTGTATTTCTATTACTATTTAAATTACTTCCAAACAAAGCAAATTTGGGGGAGGGCAAGGAGGAAAGAGGAAGCAATAGACTAAAGGTTTGTCAAGTATTACTGTGGGTAAAGGGGAAGATAGTGAACCACAGAGGAGAAGAGAAATCGAAGGGGGATGAGGGCCAGGGTAAGCTCATGGGGAGTTTGATAAGTAGCTTAAATTGTTGAATACACAATTGCTCATCTGAAATGTAAACCTCCCTACTTCATTCACAATAAGAGTAATATTTTTAAAGTCATTAATTTAGAAGTGGCATAATAGTTTTGAAAACTCAGAGATTGTCAAGTCGGGGGTGTGGGAAAGTGTCAGCTCGGTGGACCTTTTCAGCAGGTCTCTTCCTCCTCTTCACGTCCGCCTTAAACTGCTTGACGACTGAGCCCGTTTCCCAGCTCACCTCCAGGGACTCTGCCACCTCTGCGCTCCAGAAGCATTTCGCTTCTTGCTGCTTTTCTTTGTGGTTGTGCCTATACATGTCTCATTCCTGCCAGGCAGTGAGCTCCCCTGTTCTCCTAACTGTTCATGACGGAACGTGTCAAACACATACAGCAAACATTGTAGAGCAAAATGAGCCTCCTTGTAACCACCACAGCTTCAGCAGTTGTCTAATCATGGCCAATGTTAGGTTATCTGTACTTGTTTCTCCTTGAGTATTTGGAAGCAGATCTCTGACTCATTTTTGTATCCTTTGTAGCACCTGGCAAAGTGGCATCGTTCTTTACACATCACGTTTAAAACCATTATCAGTTGATTCCCTGTCTGAAAGTTGGGATGTTCAGAAATTGAGTCTGGAAATACACCGAGGATCTGCTGTGCTCACAGGCCAGCAAGTGCCCATAGCCCTGTGTGCTCAAGCTGCTCACCTTGTTTTTTGGGCACCACTGTCAGCTGAGGGATGCTTGGTGATAGTTCCCAGTTTGTGCCCTCTCTCTTTTAGCCGGCATCTGTCATTTAACCCAACAATGGTGACTGATCCAGGATTGACATCCCTGTACATCTTAATCCAAAGTCCAGTGCATTTTCTGTACTACCCACTGCTACTTCACCCTCGCCACACTCCTATCAGTCTTTTCCCCTTAATTTTAGGTGTTTCCACCTGCAGGAGACAACCAGTGCTGGAGAAGAGGAAAGGTGATGATCTCTTCAACATATGGTGCTTTCAGAGTTGAGACTGAGCAGGAAACAACACCACACTTAAGAGTACTGTCAATCAGCAGTCAGACAGCGAGTAGAAGTGCTTTTGGGGCTTCTTCTCCCTGAATCTAATGAGTCGGTGGTTTAACTGATTGCTCTGTCTTTATCCAGGACTATTAGTAAATCACTGATACTAGTTGAGTTTGGCAAAGTGAGAATGATGGGCTGTATTTATTTGATTTGGTTCTTAGGACTAATTATTGGCTTTATAAGCACCCATTTTGTGCTACCCCCTTCCCCTCCAGTGCATAGGGAGGACAGATTCTTATCCGAAATAGCACACTTCCAGGTTGGAGTTTACATATTCAATTCACAAATACTTTTTGCCAGCTACTGTTCTAGGTAACAGTGACAAGCAAAGACCTTTACCTTCATAGAGCTTATTTGTATACTGGTGGTGGCTGGTGGGTCAGGTGAGGCAGGGATAGAGGATAAACAATAAATATAATACATAAATAAACTCTGTATTAGAAGGTAAGAGACGCTGTGGAGTAAAATCGGGGTAAAAAGGACTGGCAGTGGTTCATTGTTGCCAGTGAGTAAGTTGGCCTAGTTGGGCAGGTACCAGGTGAGTAGAGTTGGGAAGGGTCGTCAGTGTCTGTACCAGATGGGTCTGCAGTAAGTTTCTCCTCATCGGGAATGTACTGATTATCATCTAATTCTTCTCCAAACACTTCTGAAATCCTATCAGCTAGCTACTCCTAAAATGTTATCATCTGTAGATCGGATTTGGAATAGGGGAAAGTGAGGATGGCGATAATCCTCGATTGAAGACTGAAAGCAGAGAACCTTTACTTCCTTGGGAAGACTGGTGGCCAAGCTCCGGAGAGAGAGTCTTGGAATAGGCCCATCATTTAATGGCTTTGGCACACCTTAGTGAGACCTGTTTAAGCAATGAGGTACTGTGTTAAATCTTTACAGATATGGAATATGATAGTCTCTATATCCTTTAAGGACTTTAACTTCTTGTGAGCTTGTATTTATGTATGTTATTTCATTTTTAATAGGAAATGTAGTGGTGTAGGGCAAAATTCAGAAAGTATGCATGGGACCCCTGTGTCACACCATCTACAGAAATTAACCCAAATGGATCCGTGACCTAAATATTAGGGTTTAAAACATAAAATTCTTTTTAACAAATAGAGGAGTCTATTTGTATGATCTTTAATTTGGCAATGGATTATTAGATTTTAAGATATCATAAGCAAAAGCATGAGCAACAAAAGAGAAAAATAGATAAATTGGACTGCTGTAACAATAAATAGTAGCATTTAAAAACACAAAATAACAAGTGTTGCCAAAGACGTGGAGAAATGATTACCTTCATCCATTGCTAGTGGGATGTAAAACGGCATAACCACTATGCTTGGCAGTTCCCCAAAAGAGTTTGGCAGTTTCTCAAAAAGTTAAACATAGGATTGCCATAGGACTTAGCAATTCCATTTCTAGGTACATCTTCCCCCAAACTAAAAACGGACTCAGGCTGATTCTTGTTATACCAGGGATCATTATAACACTATTCTCAATAGCCAAAAGGTCGAAGCAGCCCAAGCACCCATAGGCGCGTTTGGATAAACAAAATTGTGGTATAGCCATACAAAGCAGTGGAGTCCTAATGCATACATGTGGATGAACCTTGAAAACGTGCTCAATTTAAAAAGCAAAGTACAACAAGATGACTTATATGATTTCACATATGTGAAATTTACAGAGGCAAATTCATAGAGACAAAGTAGATCAGAGGTTACTAGGAACCAGGGCTGGAGCGGGACAGGGAATACGTAGAAAGTTTCTGTTTGGAATGATGGAAAAGCTGTGGAAATAGTGGTGATGATTGCACATACTGTGAATGTAATTTACTGCCCCTGAGTTGTACACTTACAAATGGTTAAAACGGAACTTTTTTAAATGTATATTTTGCTACAATTTAAAAAATGGGAAAAGGTATACATAAGAACAGAAGAGTTCCTAGGGGACGGACATCAGAGAGGTGGGTGAAGGGAGGCATCAGACAGTGTAAGATACGACAAAATAATAATAATTTATAAATTATCAAGGGTTCATGAGGGAGGGGGCAGTGGGGAGGGAGGGGAAAAATGAGGAGCTGATGCCAGGGCCTTAAGTGGAGAGCAAATGTTTTGAGAATGATGAGGGCAATGAATTTACAAATGTGCTTTACACAATTGATGTATGTATGGATTGTGATAAGAGTTATATGAGCCCCTAATAAAATGATTGGGGGAAAAAACAAACAGAAGAGTTAAAACTAGATCAAGGTAAGTGTACACAGAAGAGTTAGAACTAGTTCAAGATCAGAGAACATACTGCTAAAAAAGAAAATAATTGTACCAGAAATAAATAAAGAGATTCTTTTCTGAAAACTAGTTTATTCTTTTTGTAAAAGTAACAATCACAAACATTTTGCACTTGTGTCTTGTGTATATGTATGATTTTACATAAAATGGGATTTGACTGTATATACAGTACATTATGTAGGCATTGAAATTGAATATTATATGTAAATAGACATTTCTCGACATAC